TTGAGACGCAGGGGGGCTTTCACCGTGCCTGCTTGTGTTTTGCAAACTGTTCCAGGTTTTTTTCAAGCGAGGTTAACGGGCTTTGAAAGAATTTGAGATTGGCCACTTTATTTTCAGCCAAACTATCTTCTGGTTGCGTCCTCTCTGGAAGGTTTCCTCGACTGCGCATGTTAATGGATGTTTACTATGATACTGCAGAGATTTTGACTTGCACGTCATGCAAAGACATCTTCTACCCTAGCTGACACTGTTTTCAACCCGGATTTCAGTCTCTTACTTTCCAAGTTCGAGCATTTCGCAATGGGTCTATATCCCATCGGTTGCGATAGGAAGTATTCAGCCACGTCGATTTGGAGTTCATCCTTTTGGTCTGATTTTAGGAGAGTCTGAGAACCTTTGGTTTTGCCCCAGAGCTTTTGCAGCCAGTCTATTGGCGATGTGATTTATCTACCAAAACAGTTGGGCGATTAGAATCGTCATATCCTGCTTCACCCGAAAACGAGTCACAAATCAAAAAAATTTTTAGATGTTTATTATGTTGCCGACCTTCAGTTCACTTCTAGGAGGCGGCTCGAGGATCAACGACGATTCTGCTCAATAAATCAAAAGTGTATCCCAGTCTTCTTGGTTTTGGTTAGACCCCTTTTACATTAAACAGTGATAATGGAGCCGCCAAAAAGAATTACGATCAATACATCATTTGATGATTGGTCAAAAGGCACGTGCCAGATTAGGTTAGATTCTGCATAAGGTACCTCGACTTAAAAGCGAACTGCTGTCGTCATACACTGTCTTCTAGCAAGGAACCCTAGACTTAAATTTAGACAACTTTATTCAGGAGGTTCATCAAAGACCTCAAAACTGAGGAATCCCCTGAGATATCCTACCGTGTTGTACGTAAAATATATACATGCAATCTAGACGGGAGCGCACAGATACAGATGAACAGTGACTAGATTTCAAGACTTTTAAAGAAAACTATTGTTACCATGTTGACTGGTCCAGAGATAACAAATGAAAACATGACTACGGGAAAGCTTGCGTCCTTACCAGTCCTCTACTGTATCTGGTGATGAAACAAGACCCAAACTTCAAAGAGTATTTTGCTTTGGCAAGGGCGGATTCCTGGGTTTATGACGCGGGTGCGTATTCGTCACGTTTGCCTCCGAAGTGTAACGCCATAGAAAAACGTCTCCATTTTAGGCATGGTCGGCCCCGGTTTTGGACGATCCAAGGACTATAGCTTGTCTATTTTGTTCGTACATGCCGGGAGACACCTCCTGCACGACGACGACCAATACAAAGAAGCAGAACTCACCGGCTGTATGACTCTGCCTATGCAAGTGTAATGAAGAGTATTTTTCCTGGTTTGACAATCGATATATGTCGGTGGGTCTGTTTTGACCACCCCTGGAATTTCTGGTCAAAAAACTGTTAGACGCTGAACACTGAGGGAATTCTACCCAAAATTACTGTGGCAAGAGTCTTGCAGAATGCAAACAATAGAGAATAGATGTGGTCACATCCTACGACCACCTCGTTTCCTTCGCTAAGCCAAACAAACTACATCTGTATTGTATTGACCAGCCCTGTACTGATGCTGCACACGCCTAATCCTCATCCAAGTATGGCCCCAACCATTCAAACTTTTCTTACGCAGGTTTTGGTGTGTTTTATAAATATCAAAAGTGTCTGACAAAAAATTTCTAAGTAGATCTTGATTCAAATATCTATATTCGTCGGCCGACTACTCCCAGACGGAGTGGGAATATCCACAATGGAAACATTCTTTGTCATTTGATTTTAACCACGTTTTATTAGTCCCAACACCACCTGGCCCATTGTGCGCGGACCAGGCATGAGTGGTACACGTAGACATGCTGTTTAGAGCGTTTTCTACTTCCAGCGAGGAGTTTTTCCTCCTCCTTGGCCATTCTTCTTCCCATTTCGTTGACGCACTGTACGACCGCATTCGTACCTAAACATCTTCAGCATAAAATCCAAGGTGTGTGAAATTTTGATATGTTGTGAGGGCGACCTAGTCGCGTGTGTGTGGCACACTCAGACGAGTTGTTTAGCGCTCTCAGCCACTCGTACCAAATCCCTGCATCAGATGACAGGCTCGGACAGCTGATTGATGCCTGCGAGAGGGAATGAGTTCACCTCTGGGAGCTCCGTTCCCACGGCACTTAACGCAGATTCCTCGCTATAAACAACCTGACGCGCATTTAAACCATCACGGTGTGCTTAAAGCCGTGGTTTGGAGGGCTGCCAATTGACGGGATATCTTCGTTCTCCTTCTCTCAGGACGTCGAGTCAGGCAGCAATGACTCCATCCCATTGCAGCGTTTATAGCACGCACACCCAGTTAGGATTAGAGCCGCCGACTTTCTTGTTTCTATGGCAACCTGGTCCACCATGTGCAGATCAGACGTGTGTGGCACGCGCAGACGTGCTGTTCAGCCTTGTCAGACACTGCGCCCGATCCCACTTCCGGTCTTCTTGACTCTGTCTTGACACTGCGCTCAGGTGAAAGAGGGGAGGGAGAGCGAGGTAGATGAGGCGCAAGTCTACTGTCACAAATAAACTAATTCCCGCACGATTCACAGCCCCTGCGCCCATCCTGCTGCGGGGCGCACAGTAGGCCTGGTCGGTCACGGCTGTCGTATTGCCACTTGTGCAGACTCTGTGAGGTTTGTTCTTCTCGAAAATCTGACGCTAGAGTTCGTTGTTAAGACGTCGAATTGCTGTCGATATATAAAGTCAATAACTTGGACAAACGCTGTGTATCTGGCTTTGCTAGTGTTGTTTCGTTTGCTCAAATCATATGCACCCAAATAACCTGCGTACGTCCCGGGTTGGCGTTCAGTGTATCGAGGAAAGTTCGTCTATTCTTGGAGTGATCTAGTAGTTCAACGTTCCGCCCATTCCCCTGGCGCTCTTTTCAGCCGATCTTTCCCTGGCGGAATATGCAGCCTCGGCTGCTAACAGCAGTCTAGTAGCGGCCAGCGACGTGAGCAAGGGTGACTTCACGTAGTCTCGCCTCGCTCTACGGGACATAACATGGCGCTGATCCTGAGCAGATTGTGTTTTGCGCATGTTTTAAACAGCAGAAGCTCGTTGTGATTTCAACTGCCTATCCCTTCGTAATGATCCTTTGATCAGCGTCGCTGAAAATAGGCAGCTCGTCCATATTTGACAGCGAGGCGAGTGGGAGATGCGGATCCTCCTAAAACTCGCCCTTTGCATCCTCGGGGTTCATGATGCTCGCAGCACAGATGGTGTTCATTGTGGCCGATGCCTTAAAATAGAGCGGAAGCCGCATTCTGATGGAGCAATCGTTGTCCCCATGCGCGGAGCAGGACAACCTGCAGAAACTGTCCTTCTTATTGGTGAGGAAAATTCCAGAATCGTATCGTTCTTTCTGTAGTTAACAACTCCTGAAAAGGCATGGTTTTACGCTTCCAGCTATACATGTTCGGACAAATGATGACAGCGATGCCTGTACTGTTTCCGACCTGATCACTGGCTGAGGATGCACAGCGTAGTCACCCTAGTGATGCTGCTATACAGGCCGCAGAGTTAAACAGCCTTCAAAAGTCAGGCAAGGGGCCTAAATCACTTTCATCTTATCAATCTTTAAAGAATATTGAAGACGATGTGGAGGGAAAGGACCCCGAGCAATCTGTCTCCCAACTCAGAACACCATCACCACCACCACCACCACCACCACTAGTACTATAGTTTAAAACATCATTCGTCATCCTACCTGTCCCGTATTCTGATTGGTGGACGCACTTCCTGATCTCTAACTACAGAGCACTGAACTTAAAACTCAATGACCGAAGAGCCCGGGTTCGAGTCCCCAGTTATTTAAATCTGGGGTGGGGTATGGGCAGCCGACAACAGCTCATAGGCCAGAAATGGTCATTCCGGCTTTCCTTGTCTTCGCCAGTATTTTCTCCCTGCATTACTACAAGTCGTTATGCGACTGCGAGAGTTCTGCGTTGAGCCCCAAGGCGCAGCGGAGCCAACAGTCTTCGTAGCCTGATCGGTTGACCCCCTTCCAACGATGGGCCAGCAATATTTTAACAGGTGACGGTCAACTGTCTAGATGATGCGAACTAGCATTTGTTTAAGGCCTATTTTCTGGACTATTACCGCATAAGTGGTAAGCTTTTGAATGTGTATGCGTAGGTCTCCTAGTCGGCGGTCGGCTCCCGCTATGTCCCATGCCAATTGTAGAAGAAAAAGCATTCAAATTGGTCTGGGTTACCTACGAGATTGGTTGTCGACTGAGCTCTCCAACTCTTTCAGTAACGTTGCTGGTTACTGATTCATGCAGATGTTTTGTGTGTAAAATTTTTGTAATGAAGTCTTTCGCACAGCCGGTCTCACTCTCTTCCTAGTCTAATCAGCACCCTGTAGTAGGACTGACAATGCTGACTTGGCTGTCGGCTCAAAAGGTTCGCTCGTACGTTGTCTTGCAGAGTTGACAAATTGAAAAGGTGGTGCACTTCTGTATAGCTCTGACGTATTCCGCTGACAGGAGGTGCCTCTAAAATAACATGGAAGAAGGCTGAAATGCTTGTAAATTCACGCAGTCGACAATGCGCATCTAGCGCCCGATTCCTTCAAAGACGCTTTAGTCTGCCCATAGCAAACCTCTTAAGTGCCCATTTTGTAGTTGTAGTCATGCTCCTCAACTGCTGAATATCAGACCAGCTACTTGTGAGGAGCGTACCAAAAACAGCCACGATAACCAGGTCGGGTCCTCAGTAGCAGGAGAAGAGGGGAGGCGCCGGAAGAATGGATTTGTCGTGCACAGAAATCCTGGTTGCTGTGGTAGGTGGCAGTGGTCACTGTCGAGACCAGGCGTGTGCTGACGTTTTTAAGTCCTGGTGTGTGCTGTTTTTATGGATTTGTAAGTCAAGTATCTGTGTCCGGGGGCTACATCGGAGTCTGGCAGGCCTTATCGGGGATATGCACCCATAACAAATATGCACATCGGGGGTGTGGTGGCAGACCAAGTCGTAAGCTCCCGCCGCGCCAACAAGGACCACGGCTGCGCTCCATTTTCTTGGTGTACAAAATCCTGGTCAGCGTCCTTTGTTGACCATGATGGTGGTGGTGGTGTTGGTGGTGGTGGTGGTGGTGGTGGTGGTGGTGGTGGTGGTGGTGGTGGTGGTGGTGGTGGTTTTGGTGGTGCTGGTGGTGGTGTGACTGACTGCCGGCGGTAAATAGAGAAAGTGATGGCCAGTGCGTGCGAGCATGGGGTAGGGGTGGGTCTTTGCAGTTTCTGCAACCTGTAGCCTCTTCCGTCTCCGGTCCTCTTGACTTGGTCATGACACCGGATCCCGATGGGGGAAGCGACGAGAGTACGGTATATGTACAGCAAGTCTAGTATTACTTTAAACTAATTTTTGCGTAAGTCACTGCTCCCACCCTGCTGTGGAGCTCACGGTGGAAATCGTCAAATTCGACCGTCGAACTGTCGCGTACTGTCTTAGACGAGGGATGAGAGGTTCAGACTGCGCATATACGCCTGTCACTGTCTGAATGTGCGCGTGTGAGCATATCGCGGTACGTCAGTTTGAAAGGTCAGCGGGTCTGGTGTAAAGTGCAAGCATTTTTAAGTAGGTTTGTTTTAATTTTTGTTAACGCCTGCCTGAGCGACATTCCGGTCCCCTTAAAGCGATTGTAACGGAGCACGAACCGGACGCTCTAACGGGAAGGTTACGCGGCCCCACACCACAACTCGAGGACAGATAGACTGGAGGAGGGTTTTTTTACCGCTTCTAGTCTTCATCCCCATTTTGCCCAGTTGAGCAACTTGTGACTTACACCCTTCTTCAGATCCCCTTTTAGGTCGGTATATAGGTCAGTATATTTTAAGGGTAATAGGCAATGCCTTTGAAAACCCTATCGTAAACGGTACATGCAATATGTAACTTTAACTAAACACGGTACTGAAATGTTGGCAGTAATATATACATTTAACATAATGTTTTCATTAAAATACAGGAACGAAATTCTAACACATTCAGTTGTAGATGATATCGGTAAAATGCAATGACAGTCATCCGCATTAGCGGTAGGTGTATGCAAGGCGTTGGTTTGGCACCACAGAGCTGTTCTGTCCAGACAAGCGGTATTGTGCAAGCAAATATACATCTAGGCTTTGCTTGAACGTCTCCTTGGTATCCGTCATAAGTACGTCCTCGGGAAGCCCGTTCCAGGCACCAAAGACTCGCTGTGAAAAACAGTATCTTCGAACGTCCAGGTGGCATCGGGATCCTCTAAGTTTTAGGGAGTTGCCACGCAGGTTTGTTGTTGTGGCCAGGGTGAAGAAATCGTCGAGTTGTGGGGCGCAGTCCCGGTTCCTCAATATCCGATACGCCTGTATGAGATCACCTCGAACCTGCCTGTACTCAAGAGGAAAGAGTTTAAGTTCACTAAGTCGGCAGTTGTAAGGTAAAGTTCCGAGGCCTTTCACAACTTTTGTAGTTCTCCTCTGAACTCTTTCTGGCAACTTATAGTCTTTTTTTAGCCACGGGCGCCACGCTTGGATTCCTTATTCCAGGTGCGAACGAATGAACGCTCCGTATACTTTTCCAAATAAATCTTTGTCTATGTCTACGAAAGTTCGTTTAGTGGCAAAGAGGACACTGGTTGCCGTTTTGGCCGCCCTAACGCACTGAGAGGAAGGCTTAAGAGTCGACAAAATGTTGATCCCAAGATCTTCTTGTTGGGTCACATTTGAAATGCACCTTCCACCAAGCAGATAATGGTGCTCCTCTCCGCCAGCTCTTCCAGTCGTTTTGAGTCGCAGCGCGACGCACTTCTCAAGGTTAAACTTCAACTTCCATTTATCAGACCATTCGCATAGGCGGTTTAGTCCTTCTTGCAGGGCCCGTTTATCATTTTCCCCGTTGATCGCTCGCCATAACTTGATGTCATCGGCCAACATGACTCCATTGCAGTCCAGTTCATTCATACAGTCGTTGAAATAAATTAAAAATAGTACTGGTCCGAGTGCAGAGCCCTGGGGAACTCCACTAACAACTGGCACTGGCGTTGACTTCGCACTACCAATACACACAGATTGTGATCGACCAGTCAGAAAGTCCTTTACCCAGTTTAATTGGTTCCCCCTTATCCCTGACTCTCGGACCTTGTAAAGTAACCGGTGGTGTGGAACACTATCAAAGGCTTTCTTGAAATCACTGTACACGATATCGACCTTTATTCCTGCGTGTAACGAGCGAGACCACTGTCCCGTTGAATAAAGCATATTAGTTAGGCAGGAGTGATTTCGTCGAAAGCCATGTTGGGAACTAGCAATGAAAGTATTTTCTTCAAGGAACTTCATTATGGATTTTTAACTATTCTCTCCAAGACTTTGCAACAAATGCACGTTAGGCTCACCGGCCGATAATTGTTTGTACTTGTTCTAGATCCACCCTTGTGAATGGGGTATATGTTCGCCACTTTCCAATCAGAGGAGAGAATGCCTCGGTCAAAGGACGACCTGAAGATGTGCAAAAGCGGTCTGGCGAGTTCGCAAACCCATTCCTTCAGAACTTTTGCCGAAATTTGGTCGGGACCCGGAGACTTACCCTCCTTAATCGCTAGAAGTTTCTTCCTCATATCTTCTTCTGTGAAGTCGATGTTTTCTATTATTTCGATGGTTGTCCCAGCAGGCAATCCAGCCTCGTCAAAGTCCGTTTCATTGGTGAAAACAGATACGAAAAACCGGCCTAGATGTTCTGCCTTAGCGTCATTTTCGATGATATCCTGATTGTTTTCTCCTTTCAACACTAAGATCATCTCCTTGTTCTTTAACCTACTGTTGATGTAGTTGAAATAAATGTTCAGACGTTGATGAGTTGATTTTGATATTGCTTGTTGGAATTCGACTGCTTGAGCGCATCTGAACTTCCTGAACATAGACTCAGAGGTGCACGTGTGTGCAGTCATCTCTGTTGATGACCAGGACCAGTCGCCTTCGAAGGACACTAAACTAAACGTAGCAAAGTCGACACAGGAACTGCTCGCCGCAAGCATGAGTGACCTTGACGTAATGTGTCACGAAACTAGGACGACAGGCGCTATACTGACGGTTGTCGACAACACTCTCATGTATTCAGAGGGGGGGGGGAGGGTGGGTTGATAGTACGCGTACTGTACCACGTTTATCGTGGCAAAGCTTTTTGGTGGTCAGCCCAGGACAAATATGTTCACGCATCTAACAACCGGTCATGCTTGCAATTAATAAAAGTTGCCAACATGCACGGTCTTGGCTGACAACTGACCACGCAATAAAAAAGTGGCAAGGTCCGGAAACGCGGCTGTACTGGAAAATGGGGAAGTCCACGCGCCTCCGCCATGGGAACCGTGGTAATAGGGGTTTTATGGGTGGGGCTGCGGGAAAACGTTGAAAGAAGTGCGAAAACTAAGAGAAAAACGGATGCAGTAAGGGCAGATGCGCTAGTTCGTTTTAATAGATACGCAAGTCTCGGCGTAATCAGCGCGCAATCCAAAAATTCGCCATAAAAACCAATAAAACTAGCTCCAGTAGGAGTAACGGAGATTGACCAGTCAAGGTCACTGAAAGTGAACCGCTCAAGTAGGTAACCAATCAGAGAGAAGTCGTAGATGAGAGATGTAGGAAGTGGGTGAGAAATTGGCAGTAAACCGTATCTCCATAGACTGAAACGAAAGACCAGTTGAAAACCTCGTAGAACGTAAATCGAACATTCAGCTGAGCTCCTAACGGCAAAACAGAATTAAGGAAGCTGTCGCTGGTCGTAAACGCACCCAATGAAGTTAACCCTAATCAGAACCATAATCCAAACCATAATCATGAGACCAAACGTGAACTTTATCCTTACCCGAACCTAAACCTTCACCCTTACCCTGATCTCCTAACCCCAACCCAAATGCTAATTCCCTAACCCCTAATTACCAACCCTACCCTTAACCCTAATCACCTAACCTTCAGCCCTTGTCCTAAGCCTGGGTGTGCTAACTGTAGCACACCTGTCGAAATCAATACCAGTAGCGAAGTGATGAAATATTGGCCAAAGGAGGCCACGTGTCTGTGCCTCACCAAAAATTTCAACATAGGAAGCGTTTGCCATTCAAGTTTGGAAAGCCGCCACCATTACATCTTTAATGAAATACGTTACGAGTTCTTGGGCCGAGGTCTGCGTCAAAAAGGCAAATTTCTCCCCTGTTCAGCCCCCGCTCCCCCCCCCCCCCGGTCTCTTTACTTGCACAGCGATAGGTGACTGGTTGGCTCGTAAGTTGAACCTTCTAACGCAGTCTTGTCCTCTTCTAACCGAAAAAACGAGCCAATTCCCGTTGAACTATCGTCTCCTGCAGTGCTTGCATCATTCACCCCCGGCGGTTTAGTTCTGGAACGAGTCTTTGAAACTGAAGTGTGCAAATCGGCTAAACTATCAATGCTACGGTTCTAGATCACGAAGCAAGTATAAGTGCCTCATTGCTGCAAACGAATCCACCTCCCTGCGATAACAGTTGGAAATAAAAAGTGTCGGAAGAACGATTTTCGAAAGACGGAGCCAGCCTGCCGTAGCTTGTTGGTTTCACGGCTGTGACAGTTCGACCGTCTTTACCGACTGCGTCTACCATGTGTCCCACAGCCCTGGGGGGGGGGGCACAGACTGAAGACTTGCACGTGAATTAATTTGTAGTGATGGCAGACCTGCGCTGCACTTACCGCACTCTCAGGGCCTGTTGTCAAGACGAAGTCGAAATGACTGGAGGCCGGATTGAGAGCAGAGGCCGACAAAGCTAAACATCACATCAGCGCACGCAGCACACGGCTGGTCCGCGCAGGTTTTCGCACAAGCGAAACAAGGGGGCGACTTTGACTCCAACTGGATGGGAGTGCCATGGAGACCACAGTGAGAATGAGTCACCGCCGTCCGGCTTTCCGTCCTGGGTGGAGGACGGGGTCATCGCGACAGTTGACAGTCCTCCATGCCATAACTTTTAGCGCCTCGTTACCGTGTTAAAGTGCATCACAATGTTTATAGTGAGGGACATGACCTGAGTGCCGTGAGGACGCAGGCCCAGGAGTCGACCTCGTTCCCTGTCCTTGACACCAGTCCATTGTCATGGGCTGCCAGTAATTTGATGCGGAGGTGGAGCACGTGCGGTCAAGTCCGCCCGTACAGTATATGACCTATCTCATGAAACCTTGTGACAGAAT